TTCTATTCTCCAGTTCCACAAGTTCAGACATTTACTGCTAGAAGATACCATGGTACTTTCACGGACTCTAATTGTCCTTATTTCCCCCGTGTTTCAAATGTAAGAAGGAAGTTCTGCATAGACTTTTCCGAAGTTCTACTCTCTTGTGGAACAGATTTCCGTGTGAGCGTTCGCTTGAACACTTTAATCTTTGACCTCTTCAAGAGGTCAAGGGTCGATTGTTATCTTTCTTCATTATACGCATAATCTTCATTTTGTTACCACGTGTTATTCCATTCATAACATACGCCATCACTATTTTGACCGTAACACTCTAACTTGAGATACTCTCGAGCCTTTTTACTGGGTGAAATCTCTTAAAAGAAAATTCGGATATACTGATTATCAAGGCCGGAAACCATCCTCTTTGATGATTATCACAAAACAATCTTTTCTATATTTTCTCTTATTCTAGTCCAAAACATGGACAACCTTTTTTTGAGAAGCGGGTCGCATCGAGGCAAGGCTTATCATCAGGCGGGTAGCCCTACTAAAAAAAAAAAATGAAAGGTAATTTTTCGTTGAAGATACCTCAATCATTTTTACTACAGAAGATCGTGTGCGTAAGAATCTGCCTCAGCACGTGTGATTACAATCGCTGAATTATCACAAATCGCTATAAGCGGTGGAATCGGAAATTGAACATTAAACAATTTATTCTTGTCTTTATAGTAAATCTGAGCGGATCGATAAATTCAAATCTAATTTCTTTTGTTAACTGGGCCAAGGAATGGCTTGTTAATTTGAAGGTCTCTTTCTTTTAATCGTCTGAGAGAACCATTTCTACATTCTATCAGTATGGCTGATACTAACCTCCAGGAGAGTGACTCATTGCGCCTTCGCAGACTAATTAAGTGGAAAGATTGAATCAAATGCTCAGTTTGTTGCTACGAAAGTTGATTCCCCTTGTTGTACTAACCAGTTTTTCTTGCCAGATATTTATAAATCTATCATTCCTTTCCTTGTTTTGGATATTGCTGTTACATTAGGTCTGGTGCTCCTGTTATATATTTAGAGATTCTTGATAAAATCCAAAGAAGAATTTGCAATTTTATTGATCCTGACCTGGCATCTCCGCTTCAGTCACTTTCCCACAGCCGTAATGTAACTTCCTTGTTATTTTCTATAAATACTTTCACGGTAATTGTTCTGGAACTTTCTTGTATCGTACATAGAATTTAAGCGCAGTACTAGATTGGCGTCTAGGTCTCAACATTTTACAGTTGAAATGGCTAGATGTAACCGTAATTTCTATGCTAACAGTTTTTTCTCTCGTACTTCTCGCTTGTGGAACTCTCTTCTAGCTTCTTACTTTCCAGTCAACTTTGGTCTTCAAAAATTTAAATGCAATGTCAATCGCTATCTTTCGTCTTCTTAATTCCCATTCTTTTATTTTTCTTTTTCTTTAATAGTGTTTTTTTCTCATATTCTTTAACGTTCAGTGACCCCACTTGCGTCTTAGCGGCTTTATTGCCTTGCTTGGAGTAAAATGATTTAAAAAAAAGAGATGGAAAAGACAAGAAGTTGTGGAGAGCCATGGTCGACCACCAACGCCCTTGAAGGGAAATGGGACATAGGGGAAGATGATACTGGAGGTGACAGTAATAAAAAAGAATTATCTCTTTGCAGAAATTGGCAAAGGGAGTCAGGAAATATGGAAGTACAAAACTGGTAAATTCGAGGTGGCTAAATTATGATAACATTGTCTTAAAAAAGCGTATTGGAGTCAGAGTTGATTAGCATATCTATCTATCTATCTATCTATCTATCTATCTATCTATCTATCTATCTATTTTTATTGAATTCGTCCCATGCAAGGCAGTAAACCCACAAAGATACAAGGGGTTAATCGGTGCGGAAGAATTAGAAAACAGAAACACTATTAAGAAGCGTCAAAAAAAAAAAAAAAAAAAAAAAAAAAAAAAAAAAAAGAAAAGCAGAGTAATCA